TTGGCTACCTACCTTATCTATGCCTCCCATAATCTAATAGACCTCTGTAAGGTCCCCCTCAGTCTCCTATGTTCCAGGGGAAAAAAGTCCCAGGCTATCCAGCACAGCAAGGTGCAGAGCTGGATGAACACAGCAGGCCAAGCAGCATCGTAGGAGCAGGAAGGCTGACGTTTCGGGCCTAGACCCTGAAGGCTTCCTGTTCCTACAATGCTGCTTGGCCTGCTGTGTTCATCCAGCTCTGCACCTTGTTGTCTCAGTTTCTCAGCATCTGCAGTTCCTACTATCTCTCCCAGGCTATCCAGCCTCTTCTTATAACACAAAATTATTTTTCTTGTGATACCTGGACTGGAAGGTTTGTAGTTAAGAGTACATAGTTCCTTCATATGTATAAAAAAAAAGTTATTGTTGAAATCTATTGAAGACCTGGTAATGTTTCTGAGCTAGACTGACCAACAACAATTAACTCTGTTTCCTCTTCACTGTTGCTGCCAGACCTGCTGAGCACTTCTGTTTATATTTCATATTTCCAGCATTTGCAGCATTTTATTTCTGCTGAGATGTAAATAGGGTGCAAGAATATGGATGTGGAACAAACCAATTGCCCCGATGGACTGAGGACTCTCTCCGAGTTTCATTCAGGTCCTTTACTCTCAACACTCTATACAGCTATTGTATCTGAAGCCAGGCATTTGGTGCTTAGACTAAGATTTACAGCCCTGATGAGACATTGTAAATTTAGGGTTCACAATGCTGCAGCACTTCAAGGTGATTGGAGACTGATGGGAGCTGGCATGACCCTCTATGATGTGGGTTTTGGATTATACTGGGTCGCTGGAATTGTATAATTTATACAAGAATAATGAAAAGTTTTTTGATTCACTAGCTCAAACAGTTGAAACTGTATGGCTGGGTGTATAAAACCTAGAGTGAAGAATGAACAAAAACCATGAAAACTCTAAAAAAGAAATAGTAGATGCCAATGCTTTCATTATAAATTTTTTTGGGGGAGGTGGACATGGATTTACTGACTTAAATAGCCTGTGAATCATGATTGCTGTGCCTAGAAACATGTATAAACCATTTTATAGATAATTCTGCCCTCAACAGATTATTTGATCTACCCTTGTTGAGGCAACCAGCACAGAAACTTCATGTAGCCTTGTCATCCCAATGATGTGTGCACAGCCCAGAATGATCCACACTGCGGGCTGACTGCATACACAGTCAAGAACCTAACAGCAATGTGAGCTGGCATGTGTTGCAGCTAGCCTCCGCTTTCTTAAAGGGAAGCTGCACTGAGTCAAAGAGTTTGATGTTGAAGACTTGGCAGCAGTGCTAGAATAAGTTCATTGACCTCACATGAGTGCTCGTGGTCAGTGAATGCACCTGCACAACGGATCTCCTCTCCAACACTCCACCAGTCTCTCATGGTTCTCAATATACTACACAACAACACATGACTCAAACCTAACACCCAGAAAATCCACGCACCCCCTCACACCTTCCAGTGATGAAAGCCTCACACAAACTTCCTCTCATTGCTTCAGAGGCCAAGGAAGAGAAGACAGATGGCCCAAATCATTCATACTGTTGCCCAGGCTTCCATTGTTTCAGTAAATCCAGTGCTTCAGAGCTCAAAATCACAGTCAACACGTTCTCTTCTTTCATGTGTTCAAGTATCAAATAATCATTTTTTTTTAAAAATTACAACTGGGATAGTCATTGTTACATAAAGTAATGCCTCTATAAAAATTCTGAATTTACCAGAAAGTAAATTTACCTCAAATAAGATCCACCTGATTAAAACAGAGACATTAAAAACAGTTCCCTTTTAAATCTATTAAGTAATCCAACAAAATGTCTACTCCACTCCCTTGTAAAATCACAGAGGTTGTCTAATAGTCTCATCCACCCTTCTGGGCAATCTCCTTTACTAAGGTACCACTACTGTGTGAAATGATTAAAAACTGACCGTTTAGCTGTCTAATGAAAAAGAACATACTCTCTAGTCTCATTATATGTTAAACGGCAGCGTACTCACTTGAAAGGTATTGGACAGATCCCGCAGGTTGAAGATGTAATGGAATTTAATTGCCGTTGGCAGAAAGGTAGAAGCCACTTTCTGATGCAGTGCTAGGGCCAGGTTGATGAGCTGCTGCGTAGATTTCTGCAGTGGCCCAGCAAAGTTACCGAGCTTGAGATGCTGGGAGAGAATGGTACTGTAGATTGTTGCTAAAGCATCCATGCCAGGAAACGACAGAGCAAACACACAGAAATGGCGCTGGATTAGGAAACAGAAAACATTTAATTGTGCTGATCACTGTATACTTTTACACATTAGGCATTGGCATCTGCAAATTTTAATTTAGTGGAACAATTAAGAACAGTGGAGAGTGCAGGCATCTTCAAAAGCACAATGTGTCAATCGATAAAAAAGTGGAATTTAATTCACACTTATAGAAGTGTGACACCCTGAGACGCATTTCAAGTGAAGGGTCATCATTTTAGTTGTGGTTAGAAAACCAAGGGTTATGAATGTTGATTGTGTAGATAGAAGTGGGGAGCAATTTTGGCCCTGGCTTGTTGTCTAAGGGTTTGAAAGTGTTAAGCCAAGGAATGCATCACGTACCACCCGATAATATCACACTATATCGATCAAGGCCGGGGAGGGCTACACCTTTGAACTTAACATTGTAGTCTCCTTCCTAGTCTTAGTAACAACACCCACCAAACCAATATAACTTTAACTTTTTGTTGTATGCAATAAACTACATTTTGTTGAAGGTTTTCTTCCATCAAGTAGACATCAGGGAGAACAGTGTAGAAAATTGGAAATCTGGATGAAAATATTCGTACTGTTAATCAGGCAAAGCAAAAATAAATCTACCTTCAGTTAATTTGCAGCAACCATTTGGCTTTCAGAAAATAAGTTTATTAAAGAGAGAAGTATTTATGAAATTTAGAAGCATCAGTGTTGATGCACTGTGATAGCAATGACTGAAGCTATCAATGGCTGAATATTGCTGTTTTAATAAACCTATTCGAGCACTGCAGACTCCCTGGGAGGTACCAAACTAGTTAATGTGTCACTCATTTAATTGGTGACAAGGCTGATCTTTATTCCGCTCCCATCAGTTACTTTGCCTTTGGAACCGAACTAAGTAATATTCCGAGACTACGGCTCTAGAAGTCCAATATGCAAATACTCTGCACAATCTCAAAAGCAGTTTTGAACTCAGCATGGGCTGCAGCACAAACCTGTGTCCCTAAAAGTGGCTGTAGGATGGCAAGGAAATGGAAAGACAAATGAAATATCACATTGATGCAATACAGAGTAATGTCCTGAGGTTGGAGCTGTAATGCATTATTGGGGAAGACCAGAGTTAATCCTACTCTGCATCTGGATGCGCTATACCTCACTCAGAGAGGAAAAATTTTTATATCATGGCATAAGCACAACTCATGTTAATAAGCAGCTTTTTTTTTTGAGATATTCTAGGTGTGAAATATTTTAAACAAGGCTGAAGTTTAGGGTAAATGAAGCTCCAGAATGTAGATCACCAAGCTGAAAATTCTCATGGGAATAGGTAAGGTGAATGGCACAAGCAAAAAAGCTCACTTGCAGCCCTCAGATCCTGTCAGTAATTGTATTGCTGCCAATTTAAATGAATAAAAGTCACCCTTTCCCCCTCCTTCTGTCACTGGAGCTCAATATCTGAGTCTCCAGGGGAGGAAACTATTTCACTTGTTACCCAAGGGAAATAAAGTGTGTATGAGAAGACCTATTTATGGATGGTAAATCCAAAACGAATTGCCTTCAAAAGGAAAATCTCTCACAGCTCGGTTTCATGGTTATCCTTATAAAGCCTGCAACATGAACAAGATTTCTGGCATTACAGTCTTATTTAGTATAATGTGAGCAAACCACCAAAGTAGGTTTCCTTAATCTATGCCAGTTTTGTATTTCAATGCTTGCACAGATACTGGCATTGGCTAGGTTTTTCTTGAAGACAGTATGGATCACTGCTTTTCTGCTTGTATACATAAATCCAGCAAACAACAACCCAAAATTGTTTTGATGCCTCTATTCAACAAAAAAGGCGTTTTTTTTTTAAATTACCCTTCACATTGGCAATGTCTAAAGTAAAACACAATTTAACCTTTGTTTGAACCGTCAGTGACATAATTCTCATTTGAATAAGTTCTGTAGACTTCATTGAAGCCATGTATTGATGAAGCCCCGTGAAAGATAACCATTCACTTTAAGAATACAAGTAAAACAAAATGTACCCCGTGATAACAGTAAGAATTCTGAAAAATGCTAAATAATAAAAATGGCATTCGATGTGTTTTGACTGCACCAGTTATAGATCACCACATCTACGAGACTGATTAGATAAGAAAAAAAATTATAACATTTGCAGATAACATGAGAACCATTACAATATATGGAAAATAGGGAATCTTACGAAGTAACATAAATTACGTTATTAGGTATTAGAAAACTAGTATTCCAGAAAAAGGGACAAGCTTCAGATTGTTGAGCAGTCGGAATTCAATATTGATACCGAGAGTCTAACACTCTGAAGCTCATTTGTAATAATTATCATCTCAAATTATTTCATAGCATTGTCTTTATGGTGAATCCACTCATACAATGATATTTATTTAGGGACTCCTGAATTTTTTTGAGGGGTAACAAAATTAGCCACTACTCATCCAACAGTTTCAGCCTAATACTCTTTATCCCAGCAGCATGTACAATCCTTCAGTCTTTTTTTGAATATAATCTTCATATTTTAAAAAAAGAAACTCGCTGGTTTTCACACTTGACTTTACTTGGCCCATTGCTTGTATTTCTGAACACTTCAAGCGAAAAAGAAACAAAGGAACTGGTCAGAATAAGTATCCACTGTCACTGTGCCCTGCTAAGAGTCTCTTGACTGAGTAACATGTGGGGCATAATGTATGAATAATGCATTCTATCATATATTTTTCCAAGAGTGGATATAATTAAGTGGTCTTTTAGCCAACAGACTATTAACAGGTAGAGCACTTGGCCTTTTTATAAAGGTTTCAATTTTCCAACATTACACAGGTCTCATTACTTTTACAGCTATCATAATTACTCCTTCCATTTGGAGCCTCCCAGTTACATTGTTCAGGTGGACACTAGCTGAAACTCTGTATTCATAAGAACCAAGCTGGGAAAATCTGGTCCTTATACCAACTGAGATGATGCAGCATCTTCCAATGATTTTGTTGCTACACATTGGGTATTATACAGAAGACCAATCTTTCCCACTGCACTTTATTTTGACCACACTAAAAAAAATCCTCAACTTTTCTTCACAGAGGACATGTCTCACCATAATTACTGTTGCCTACATATTGTTTTGCAATAGAATTAGGTATCAGGTCAATTCCTTAAAAAGAGAGAATGAGGCAGTTGCAACTGCAATGATTACATTCTGTGGAGACCTGACATCATCTTGATTTGTGGGCGTGGTTGTGTGATTTATCACTGCACTCAGCACATGCCAAGCAACAATGAATTGTGTGCCCATCCATAAATATATACAACTTGGTGATAGCATTATAGATCTTGGTCAGTAAGAGATTCACTTCTTTTATGTTGTAAGATTCGCTGAAAAGAGCTATTCACGCCTTTTGTCTTCACTCCACAAGACAAACGCAAGAAAGCACATTTTTAAATGGTCACAACAATTCATACTGGACAATAAACAGGTGCTGGTTGACCAAGACATGGCCATGCAGAAAATAACAGGGGATTATTTAACAAGAACAATTGACGAAGGCAGAGTGATGGACGTGATCTATATGGACTTCATTAAGGTATATGACAAAGTTCCTCATGGTAGATTGATTAGCAAGGTTAGATTACACGGAATACAGGGAGAACTAGCTATCTGGATACAGAACTGGCTCAAAGGTAGAAGACAGGATGATGGTGGAGGGTTGCTTTTCAGACTGGAAGCCTGCGACCAGTGGTGTGCCACAAGGATTGGTACTGGATCCACTGCTTTTTGTCATTTATATAAATGATTTGGATGTGAACTTAGGAGGTATGGTTAGTAAGTTTGCAGATGGCACCAAAATTGGAGGTGTAGTGGTCAATGAAGGTTACCTGAGGGTATAACTGGATTTTTTTTCTTTATTCATTTGCGGAATGAAGGCGTCACTGGGTAGGCAGCATTTATTGCCCCTCCTTAATCGCCCAGACGGCAGTTAAGAGTCAACCACATTGCTGTGGGTCTGGAGTCATATGAAGGCCAGACCAGGTGAGGATGGCAGTTACCTTCCCTAAAGGACATTAGTGAACCAGATGGGTTTTTCCAACAATCAACAATGGATTCACAGTTATCAGTAGGCTCTTAATTCCAGATATTTTATTGAAATGAAATTCAACCATCTGCTGTGGCGGGATTTGAACCTAGGTCCCGAGAACATTATCTGGGTCTCTGGATTAACAGACGAGCAATAATACCACTAGGCCATCACCTCCCTAATATTGATTTTGATCAGATGGGCCACTGGGCTGAGGAGTGGCAGATGGAGTTTAATTTAGATAAATGTGAGGTGCTACATTTTGGAAAGGCAGGACTTATACACTTAATGGTAAGGTCCAGGGGAGTGTTGCTGAACAGAGACCTTGGAGTGCAGGTTCATAGTTCCTTGAAACTGGAGTCACAGGTAGACAGGGTGTTGAAGAAGGCATTGGGTATGATTACCTTTGTTGGTCAGTACATTGATTACAGGAGTTGGGAGGTCATGTTGCAGTTGTACAGGACATTGGTTTGGCCACTTTTGGAGTATAGCATGCAATTCTGGTCTCCTTCCTATAGGGAGGATGATGTGAAACTTGAAAGGGTTCAGAAAAGATTTACAAGGGTGTCGTCAGGGTTGGAGGGTTTGAGCTATAGGGAGAGGTTGAATAGACTGGGGCTATTTTCCCTGGAACGTCGGGGACTGAGGGGTGACCTGATAGGAGGTTTATAAGGTCATGAAGGGTATGGTTAGGTGAATAGACAAGGTCTTCTCCCCAGGGCGGGGGTGTCCAAAACTAGAGCCATAGGTTTAAGGTGAGATGGGGAAGTTTTAAAACAAGGCAACATTTTCACGCAGAGGGTGGTGCGTGTATGGAATGAGCTGCCAGAGGTGGTGGTAGAGGCTGATACGATTACAACATTTAAAAGGCATCTGGATGGATACATGAATAGGAAGGGTTTAGAGGGATATGGGCCAAATACTGTCACATGGGACTAGGTTTATATAGGATATCCAGTCGGCATGGATAAGATGACTGAAGGGTCTGTTTCCGTGCTGCATATCTCTATGTCTCTATTGGCTCTGCGTGTTCCTGGGTAATTCAAAAAGGTGCATGAATTGAATACGTTCCTTTTGCTTCCGGAGACTGGGTTCCTGTATTTGAATGCACGCCACTGCTAGCATGTGTAAATAAACCTCATTACAAGCTCTGAATTATTGTAAATCTGGGAGCAGCAGCTCTGTCAGTCTGGTCACTTAAACAGGCAACAAAATAAATTGCAGACCATATCATGTCAGAAGCAGATTGAGAGTGGCCAGTTTTATAGATTACTTTGATTTTTTTTTCCTAGAATATACCTTATTATCTGCAGTTTGTTCGCTCTCCCCAAGGCAGATGTCCAAGAGAGGTCCATGGCACCACCTTTGTACATTGAAAATGTGGTTGCCAGAAATTAAAAAGACCAATGGCAGTTTGGTTGATGTTTTCTTGGGCTCAAGGTGCTACAACCAAGATGGTGTCCCAAATCTGGATTTTGCAGCCAGTGGTCACGACAATAACTTTCACCCTGGCCCTCACAGAAAGATGCTCACAAACACCTCACAAATGCTGTGGAGTAGGCATCCCTCTTTCCCCACAGCAATTAAAATCAGCAGCCAGGTTGAGGGAAGCTCCAAGCTTCCAGTGGCAATAAACCATGGAAGAAATAAAACCTCTCAACTAACCTGCAGGCGAGGGTTGATGGTGAAGCTGCCTGCTGTGGGATTCATACAGGACACATATTGTACATTGTGGATCTCTTTCAGGGAAAGTTTGTTTCGATCATACCTGGTAAAAGATTTTATTTAAATTGTTAGTCAAACTGATTGACTAAATGGTACCAACAAACTGAATAAGATGACATGTGTACAAGGAAAGAAAGGACAAATTTTATAAAGATCATGTTGTCTATTTTTTTTTTTAATTAGAGTTATTTTGTGTTTTTGTTTTGGTTTCCAGCATCCACAGTGTTCTAATTCAGTCCCTTTCACATTAGTATAAAAACAACTTGCCCTAAGGGTCCCTACTCCTGACAGTAATTCCTGATTTTCCATGTATTACTGCTTTCCCTGCATTGCTGCAAGGCCAAATGTTTGCAAAGAAATGACCTTGTTTTGACATCCACTTTATTCAATATGCATTTTGTTAAACTGCAATTAAAACCTGAATAGATTCATTTCACAGCTTAGTTCTTTCCTGTAATTATTTCCAGCAGAGAACATCTATTTGTAATGAAGCATGTATAAACTGGCTTGCTAGAACAGAACTTTAACATGAAGCTTTCTGTCTTGTACATGTCAGGACTAGGACACATGAAACTGACTTGAAAAACAAAAGCATGAGAAACAGATGCTGACTGAGATGGACCATTGTTGGGAGGAGATGCAGCAGGAACTGTTAACTGTCAAACTTTAGTTTCCAAACCAGACAGGTAGGGTCTGCTTGTTCATGCCATTGCTTTTAGAATACGGTAGGGATTGGTAACGCTATGACCTGTTTTACAATGCAAAACATGCAATATTTACAAATTCCTTTTTTTAACCTACAAAGGACAGCCCCACATATCAATATTTGTTGCTTCTAGCACGTGTACATGCATCCCAACTGCTCAACTTAAACTAGATTCCAGTGTAACAATGAGCTCAGTCTGGATTGTTTAGTAAATGTTGTCCAAAAGCAGCATCATATTTAACAGCGGGCATAATGTTCTGAAGCTTTTCAAGCAAGGGCACAATTGGCATACCAGCACTGGTCAATGAGATGCTTTGTTTGGGTATGGTCCACTAGTGATTGGGATACATTGTTCATGGAGCAGAGAACACACCAGAACTGAAACGCACATCATATTACTCATTTGTGTCACAGGGAAAAGGTCTTTGGGTTGTTGACAACATTTATCAGTAAAGCAAATGAAAAAACAACTCATGTTCAACGCAGAGTAGCAGCTCACTTTACCTTAGAGTCCTGAGGAAGGGTCACTGGACCCAAAATGTTAATTCTGACTTCTCTCCACAGATGCTACAGACCTGCTGAGCTTTTCCAGCAATTTCTGTTTTTATAGCTCACTTTACCTGTCGTTTATATCTTTGAGACATCGTCCCTTTCCAGTGATTGACTAGGCAATATTCAGGGTCAGTAGTCAAGGCCAAGGGCTCTCTCATGTGTTTGTGCAACACACAGTGAGTGATGATTTGACCACAGTATCATACACAATAGTTTGGATGCATCTTGACTGAGCACCAAGCTTACAAGGTGAGCAGATGGCTAGGGCACTACTCATGAGGTTGCCAATAAGATTGATCTTGTAGCACATGCAGCTTTCGGAATCTCAAAGTGCATGTTGACCAGCGAACACAGGCTTTTAGTAGATAGCAGTAAATAATCCATTGGCAGCTTATCAACCAGTACATTAGGAAAGGGAATTAACTTGATTACTCAATTCCAATGGGAAATTTGAAGAGTGGATGGAGTTTATTAAGTTGTGCAAAGACATTATTCGATGAAGCTGCAGATTAAAATATTGAAAACTTGTCATTTAAGCATTGGACATACGCAAATGGGAGGAGGTTCATGGTTATTCTATCAATGACACACTTTTCATAGCAACTGTAAAGACCACCTCTGTTTTGGACTGTGAACTAAAATGGGAAAAGATATTAAACTAAGAAAATGGTGTAAAATGATGTCTGTAGTTTTTAAAAGCAATTTACTGGAATATTGTGAGTTGTATCTATAAGATTGTCTTATTCAAACAGAGAGGGAGTATTCCAGACACAGTGCGAGCACCTGGGTGAGTTCAAGACAAATTTTGCCTGGAAATGTTATTTTGATTGGCTTTTCAGTTGGGGCAAGTTGCTGTGGACTCAGGAGGGCTCAGCATAGTAGCAACCATTTGATTGGTTCCTGGGCAGGTGGCTACAGCCTGGAGGGTGGAAATTGCATCAGAAACATTCAACCAGTAAACAGAAAGCATCAATCTCTCTTCCTTAGCTAGCAGAAGATCGAGGAACAGAAGTGTGAGCAGATCATTGAAAGGTGTGAAAACAACAGGGCTGTTGTGGGTGATTTTAACTTTCCAATGCTGACTGGGAATCCCTCAGTTCTGGGGCTTGGATGGTGCAGAATTTGGTAGATGCATCCAGGAAAGCTTTTTGAAACAATATGTAGATAGTCTAATTGGGGATGGGGCAGCACTGGACCTTGTTCTGGGGAATGAGTCTGTCCAGGTGATCAAAGTTTCAATGCGGGAGCATTTTGGAAACAGTGGTCATAAGTCCTTAAGTTTTAAGATAGTTATGGATAAGGATTAGCCTGGTCCTCGGGTGAAATTGCTAAATTGGGGGAAGACCAATTACAATATTATTAGGCAGGAACTGGAGAAATTATACTGGGGACAACCATTTGGCAGTAAATTCACATCTGACTTGTGGCAATCTTTTCAAGGCCAGTTGATCAGATTTCAGGACCAGCATGTTCCTGTGAGGACGACAGATACAGATGGCAGGATACCGGAACCCTGGATGACCAGAAATATTGAAAGTTTAATCAAAAAGATAAAGGGAAGCATATGCAAGTTTTTGGAAACTGAAATCAGTCAAGGCTCTTGAGGAATATAAAGGGAGCAGAAAAGAACTTACATGAGGACTGAGGAATGAGGAACCAGGATGTTGCCCAAATTTCAGTGTATTAGTTATAAGGAGAAGGTGAATAAATTTGGATTATTTTCACTAGAACATCAGAGGTTGAGGAGCAACCTGTTTGGTATAAACATATACATAAAAAATTATGAGAGACATGAATAGAATGGATAGTCATTTTCCCAGTGTGGAAATGTCAAATGCTCTGGGGAATAGGTTTAAAGTCTAAATTATTTGGTAAACAAAGAATGAAACTTTTTGGACAATCCTGGTGGTTGTTAGGTAAGTAAACAACCTTCTCTTCTTCAAATGAGGCCAGGGGTATTTTTATATTCTTGTGAACAGGCTAAAATGGGCTTCAGGGTAGCAGCTTTCACTAGAAACTGCTTCTTCAACAATGCAGCAGTTTATCAATATTGTATATAAATACCAATGAAGAACATGTGCTCAAGTCACGAGGTAAGGCTTGAATTCAAATTCGGATTGTGCCAAGAATGTTGTCAGATAATTCAAAGTGACACTCAGAACGAGCAAATCTAACTACAAGTTCACAAAGGGTGGAACACCAATCATCCATAGAGAGCACCATATATATCCATCAGTTACTGCAGTACTGAATGTATTAAAAAAGGAAACTTTAATTTAACAAACACCAGATAGTCTCACGTTGAACAACATAAATGATATTGAACTATTTATTTTGGCTCGGGCAGGAATGGTCCAATTTGTATTTCAATTGAAAATCTGGCAGAGGATAAAACAGGCTAATAATTCACCATTGCTCATTTTGCATCACCATCCTAAGTCAAATATATGCCACATCCACTCAGTGCAAATGTTTGTTGCTCTCCCAAGGTATTTTGCATTAAGAATAACATCTTCCTTAGTATCTGAGGAGCACCTACCAGTGATTGTAATCCAAATGTTGCCTGATAAGTGTATGTGGCTGAACAGTGCCATAAGTGTCGACTTCAGGCATGTTCATGTCATCAATAAAGTATATCAGTCTTTTGTTGCCCGGTGGCCCGTAGTTTCTGCCAGCTTTCTTCTCAAGGGGCTTTTCCAGTATGGCTGCAAAAGATAAACAGCAAATGTAACCATACAAATCCACAGACTTTGAAATCCAGAGGGCACAGGGGAAACTGCTCAGCAGAGCTACCAATGCGGCTCTCCAGATAAAGAGTTAACACTGCACTTGAGGAAAAGCAACATGCCAACACCTGTAAATAAAGTTATGAGTACCGCTCGCTACCCACTTTGGTTCAATCCTTACCTCATTTATTTCTTTAAATAATACATAATTTGAAAAAGTATTGTCACAGTATCTTTTGAGAGTGATACCTGATTACAGAAAAGATCTCAGTAAGATTTTGCACTTTTTGGAAAACACCTAACAAGAAAAGGTACAACCAACAACATTATAACAGCCTCTCTGCTCCTATGATGCTGCTTGGCCTGCTGTGTTCATCCAG